ACAGTTCAGTTTAGTGCAATTTAATTTGCCCACCCCTACCGAAAACCAAGTGCCAAGCCACACCACAAACAACTGAATACATATTAATCTAATAATAGCTCCTAATTTCCCCATTTAACCTATGTACGGAGAACCTGGACACCAAACAATGTTAGATTAATTACATACCCAACCCAAGTTATCTGAGTTAGTATAAATACTCTTTATTTTGGGGCAAGGTTTGGGGATACTTTATCCTTAATGCTTGAAAAACTTGACTAGGAAACCACTGAGCTACGGACAGGTGAAAAAGCCACAAGTTGAACATTTAAGTTTCAAAGTCTTGAAAAACAACATAAAATATACCTTCTCTCAAACGAGTCAACCATATATGGAAATTTTGGTTGTATGCCTGTTGCTTTCCGCAACCACCTATTACCCAGGAATACTTTGTCAACAGTGTAATGAAACTGGAGTTCTGCAGCTTTTGAAATAACACTTAATGGTATACTAGGATGGCCCATTTCATCTAGCAATTCCTGAACCTGTCGGGAAAAATCAACAATAAATTATACAACTTTTTAAGAGAAATAAGACTAGATATTAATGTTATGTATAGCTCTAATTCATCCCTTATAAGAAAATATAATGAAATGAAACATTTGAAACAACATTTTTTAATTTATTTTTGGAAACATTATATGGGGTATCTCAGGCCAAGCTTTTATCAAATATACAAAGATCATATTGGGGCCTTTAATTGCTGTGTTTGAGACCATACTGAATAGTGTTTTTGATGCTGACAAACCTTCTATATTAAATTTTATGTATTTTAAGATTAATGTTACTGATAGTTTGCTTGAATATGTTGAGAGAAAAACAGGATTTGAAGTCTGGATGAAGCAGTCACAAACACAGTAAAGGAACAAATTTGGAGGACAAATATAACATTTTCAGATGACTGTCTCTAGCATCAGAAGATCATGTATAAGAAATCTCAATGCGAATATGCACTATTGAGTCTAGTCTTTTCTGAAGATCAAGATAAAAATTGTGTCATCAACCACCTTCTGAGTGTTTCAGTATGTAAGAAAATGACTCAGAAGATCAAACGATGATTTAGAATAGAATGTAGGATTCACACCATTAGAAGCCTACTATATTCCTTGAGAAGACTAAATGACCCAAACGATTAAGGTTACCAACACTCACAAGTCACAAGTCGTTACACAACCCAGGCTACTACTATTCTTAATGCATATCAAGCTCATGAACTACTCCATCAGTGTTGAGAAGACAATCTGATGACCTGTGACAGCTTCTTCATAAGCTTACTACCAGAAACTTCTGAACAACCTCAAAGAAAGATAACTCAAATAATGACTCATGTAATTCTCATGAGATGATCCCTGAAGTTTTTCAGAAGTTGGACAAAAGGATAATGCCAATAGAAACTCACAGCAGAGCCTTCCCAACAGTTTTAAAAATTAAAACAGTGATAAAGGTTGGAAAACGCTACAAATATCTTCTGATGTTGTTTACCTGACTTAATGATTTTAAAAAAAATGTTTTACGCTTGATAACATCTTTTATTCAAACAAAACCATATTTTCATACTCACTTTCTGTGAAATAAGCTTTTGAAAACTAGATTCCCTGTATACTAAAACATTATTCGTATTGTATCTATAAAGGCATATCTTTCAAAAAGTTAAAACCATCAAAAGATTAATCCATCACTTCAAATGGTTCAATAGACAATCTGCTTTTTTTTTTATTTTTAATATTAACCTTCTAATTCTAGACGTAGTGGCATATTAATCATCTTTTGAGCAGCTATATGGAGACCAAGTTTGTATTTGAATAAAGTATAAAAAAATTATATTTAATATTGTAATTTTCAACAGTCACAATTCATCCCCCCCCCCCTTTTTGTGATTCTTAGAATCACTTTATTAATATCACAAATCACTCTCACTTATTTGTACTTTACATAAATTCTAATTTCTAAATAGTCATAAATGATTCATATCCAAAATTTCAAACATTAGATTCTTTTGCACTTCGACTGAAAAAATATAAGTTTTTCTCTACCAGGTACTTCATTGACACTAAAAAATTCATGAAATTGATAATACCTCTGGAGGCTCCCCTAAACTATCTCCCATTTCCTCAATCACCTCTGCAGCCAAGTTGTCATCAACCACATCCCGCCGCCGCTGCATGTGCCGAGTTTGGATTAAAGTATGGAAATGTTGATCAACGGCTTCTTCAAGAATATTATCAAGCATGTTTTTATCAAAGAAGTAGGGAGTATACCTGATTGAACAAAGAGCAATAATGTAAGCATAATATATTCAGTTCCACGCTTTGGTAGAAAACATTTTTTTTCTGAAGAGCTAGGTGTCATATTACAAATGAAACACAATGGAAAAAATAATCAAGAGTAAGCCCACAACCTAACAAAAAAAAATAGCAGATCAGAAATCAAAGCTTTTACTGCTACTGAGGATGAAAAAAGAACAAAAAAAAATCCCAAAAGAAATTTATTAAGGACTAAATAAATACAAGTAAGAAAAGTGATGACAAGCATAAGGAGGCTAGTCTAAAGCAATCATCACTTGGTCAATTGCCAAAAATAAACACTGGACAAATGTACATACAATTGCAAAAGAAACAACAGTAGAGAGATTCCTGTTGAATTACTACTCTAAGGTAAAACAGAGCAATCCATCCATTGAAAATACAAAATAATTGTTTGACTCATTAAATTTCAAATCAACAAAATACAAAAATGTTCTATGAAAATAACCATAATTCACATGAAACAAGGAAGATGAGCAACACACCATTTAACCCCATCTGTAGTTGCTATTGCAATGTCTAAGTTATGGGCACTAAACACGGGCACCCCATCAACCTTTTTCTTGACACCATGTTGTGATATACTCTTCAGCAGTTTATTGGCTGCCTTGACCTGGCGAGAAGGTATTTATTATAAATACAGATGGCAGTCAAATAAAACTAGAAGATATGCAACAATGAAAAACTAATAATACCTGCTTCTCATTCGGAACAAACTGGAATAAGTGAGGTTTTTCCTGCATGGTGTGCAATGTACAATGTTATAAATTAAGCATAAGATATATAAGCAAGAAAGAATATCAACATATCAAATTCCATAATTGCGGACATCCATCTGCATGCATTACTTATTTACTATATCTAAACAACCAAATCATTATCAAAACATACACAACCTTCAATGAGCATACTTAAACCAGCACAACTACATTTAAATTGGCAATTGAAAATGTCAACAGTACCTTGAAATGTTCATATGCTAGGTCAAGACGACAGGCCCCAACCACACCGCTTGGAATATTCAGCTTTTTGACATATGAGACTAAGAACATTAAAAAGGTCAGTAATAACTGAAAAAGTTATTATTGATTGGATATTAAGATTAGCCAAACCAAACAAATGATGATAATAGAATAAATTCATGGACAAGCAGGGAGATAAAACAGATAAATTGGAATATGGATAAAAGTACAAAATATATAATGTGTTCCAGGGAATATTTTAGTCAGTTAATTTGCATTGCAGGTGGCTATTTTTCTGGTAAAATCCTTTTGGGATTCTTGGGCCATGTGCTCTGGGTTTAATTGTCCCACCACTTTGGAACAGTTTTTGGTTTGTTACAAAAGAGTGGTAAAAACAAGGAAGATAAAATTTTATGGCAGTATGCACTATATGATACCCCTTTGATGCACCTGATTGGATCCAAATGCTTGCATCAATGCATCTTTGAAGGTGCCCCCATTGCAACTTGCCATTGATTTAGGCATTTATTTGATTTGAAGCACATGGCTGCTTTAATTTTAGTAGCCATTTTTTGGATATGCAGGGATTGGGCCGCCTTTTACATTCTTAAGTATATTTCTTTTTCCTTACTCCTTGATGCATCTAGTTTTCTCAGTTGTGCAGGATATCCTTTTCTTGCATAAATTTAGTTTTCTCATTTCCCCTTCTTAGTGAAATGTCTTTTTCTATTTAAAATAATAATGATCATTCAAAGGTATCGCAAACATACATTTCAAGTTTTAAAGAAAAAACTACACAGGAATTTTGATCAAAGTAAGCTTGAAGATGATAAGGCAGTAATACATAGGTAAAGCTACAACTTACAAGCATGTATAAGGACTATAGAAAAGCAGAATATTTCTATAGCTAACCTGCATCTCCTAGATCAATAAAGAAGCGAAATACAGGGCCATTCCTCTCACTCTTAGTGATTGCTGCAAATATTTTTTTCAGCCACTCAGGGGTTCTGCAGATGACAGATAATAGGTGAAAATCACATTTTTAGAAAAAAGCTTGGTAACAACTTAATATATGAGTAACGATTTAAACCAAGCATCTTTATCTTAGCTGTAAATTCCTTTCAATGTTAACCTATCACTCAGGTTGAAAAAAATGTGAAAAAAAGAAGTGAAATACAGGGCCATTCCTCTCACTCTTGGTGATCACTGCAAATATTTTTTTCAGCCACTCGGGTGACAGAAACTCCCTAACTTCTTTGAAGCCTAAGCAAGATGTCCCATGTTTGGTACCCTGGTAACAGATTGTACCACAGGCATCTCACATACACTTTTAGAAGCCCAATCCAGTTGTAAGATTACAAAGCAGCTTAGCACAACCAAACTCAACCATCACAATGTTTGTATGATTGGATAAATAACTTCATTAAACCATTGTTGAATAAGTGTTTATCATTCTCTCTTTTCCACCTCATTTTCTTCCTATGACTTTCTTTGTTTCTGATCACATTACTTATCACACAATGAGTAACGGTGCATGGATACCAGCATGTTTGGAGTCAAATCGAGAACACACATCCCTATTCTCTCTCGTCCACTAGAAGGCAGAAGCAACAAAAATTTACTATTACATCATTTGCACTGATTAACGTGATTTTTTCTAAGGACATACGTAGTTAACATGTGTCCAAACACAATGTATTCACCTAATTGACACTTTTCATTTCTTTCTATCTCTTTCTTCTTGTCATGACTTATCATCGATCATATCCACACTTCTCACCCTACCTCTTTCTACGTATCTAGTAGCACATTGGTTCCATGCATTATTTTCACATAGTTAACACTTTCTCTCTACTTGTTTTTCTTTCTTCATAATTCTCACTTACTACCACTCAAATCCATCCCAACACAGGGCAGACCTTTAGTCTTAATTATAAACAACAAATTAGTTTTTTCTTTCGTCTTAATTATAAGTAACAAATTGGTTAAACTTTTCTATCCCCTTTATTTACTGTTAACTCTATTGTCTATGCATTCACTAATAACCAACATGAAATATCACAACTAAACACTTAAAGTTGAGGATATATTTAGAATAAAACTTGAATTTATGATAGAATTACTTAAAAGTAACATATGGTCTCGGTGATTTGTCTCAGGTAGTAGCATATCCATGCATTATTTGGCACAATTTTTCTCTATACTTGATTTTTTTCTCCTTAATTCTCACTTCCTACCACTCAAATCCGTCCCACCAAAGGGCGGAGCTTCACATTTTCATCTCAAAAGAATTCAAAACAGCAACTAACAACCCATATCTCTTCATCTCAAAACAATTCGCAACAAACCAAAAACGACAACAATTCTAATCGCTTGGGAAATAAAGAGCGAGAGGAACCTTTTCGAAATGAAGGGAATGTCGAAGTGCGTAGAAACGGCCATGAGGC